AGTTAAACACTCATGAGGCGGAGTTAAACACTCATGAGGTGGAGTTAAACACTCATGAGGCGGAGTTAAACACACCTGAGGCGGAGTTAACACACCTGAGGCGGAGTTAACACTCCTGAGGCGGAGTTAAACACTCCTGAGGCGGAGTTAAACACTCAAGAGGTGGAGTTAAACACTCATGAGGTGGAGTTAAACACTCATGAGGCGGAGTTAACACTCATGAGGCGGAGTTAACACTCCTGAGGCGGAGTTAAACACTCATGAGGTGGAGTTAAACACTCATGAGGTGGAGTTAAACACTCATGAGGCGGAGTTAAACACTCATGAGGTGGAGTTAAACACTCATGAGGCGGAGTTAACACTCCTGAGGCGGAGTTAAACACTCATGAGGCGGAGTTAAACACTCATGAGGCGGAGTTAAACACACCTGAGGCGGAGTTAACACACCTGAGGCGGAGTTAACACTCCTGAGGCGGAGTTAAACACTCCTGAGGCGGAGTTAAACACTCATGAGGTGGAGTTAAACACTCATGAGGTGGAGTTAAACACTCATGAGGCGGAGTTAACACTCCTGAGGCGGAGTTAAACACTCATGAGGCGGAGTTAACACTCCTGAGGCGGAGTTAAACACTCATGAGGCGGAGTTAAACACTCATGAGGCGGAGTTAAACACACCTGAGGCGGAGTTAACACACCTGAGGCGGAGTTAACACTCCTGAGGCGGAGTTAAACACTCCTGAGGCGGAGTTAAACACTCATGAGGTGGAGTTAAACACTCATGAGGTGGAGTTAAACACTCATGAGGCGGAGTTAACACTCATGAGGCGGAGTTAAACACTCATGAGGTGGAGTTAAACACTCCTGAGGCGGAGTTAAACACTCATGAGGCGGAGTTAAACACTCATGAGGCGGAGTTAAACACTCATGAGGCGGAGTTAAACACTCATGAGGTGGAGTTAAGTACTCATGAGGTGGAGTTAAACACTCATGAGGTGGAGTTAAACACTCATGAGGCGGAGTTAAACACTCATGAGGTGGAGTTAAACACTCATGAGGCGGAGTTAAACACACCTGAGGCGGAGTTAACACACCTGAGGCGGAGTTAACACTCCTGAGGCGGAGTTAAACACTCCTGAGGCGGAGTTAAACACTCATGAGGTGGAGTTAAACACTCATGAGGTGGAGTTAAACACTCATGAGGCGGAGTTAACACTCCTGAGGCGGAGTTAAACACTCATGAGGTGGAGTTAAACACTCATGAGGCGGAGTTAAACACTTATGAGGCGGAGTTAAACACTCATGAGGTGGAGTTAAACACTCATGAGGTGGAGTTAAACACTCATGAGGCGGAGTTAAACACTCATGAGGTGGAGTTAAACACTCATGAGGCGGAGTTAAACACACCTGAGGCGGAGTTAACACACCTGAGGCGGAGTTAACACTCATGAGGCGGAGTTAAACACTCATGAGGTGGAGTTAAACACTCATGAGGCGGAGTTAACACTCCTGAGGCGGAGTTAAACACTCATGAGGCGGAGTTAACACTCCTGAGGCGGAGTTAAACACTCATGAGGCGGAGTTAAACACTCATGAGGCGGAGTTAAACACTCATGAGGCGGAGTTAAACAGTCATGAGGCGGAGTTAAACACACCTGAGGCGGAGTTAAACACTCCTGAAGCCGCTGATTGAGCTCTGAGAGGCTCAGGTGTTTGGAGGAAACTCTGCTGTAGTGCATGAGCCAAAGACGACTTTTGTTAAAGGTGTAACTGTAAACAGAGGTCTAATAGCTTGTAACGTTAGCAGGTTTTATGTTTTCCTCTACACAAAGCACTGTATTTGTCTCAGAACCTTTTATAGTATGTCCACTAAATTATTATTACCACTAAAAATGAAATCTCAGCAGGAAAAAAAAATACTTTTTAGAGTGTATTTTGATATTGGACTGCAATTTTCCAAAAATGTGTAACTAAATATGTAGTACTTTGTATTCCATTCCAGTTATTACATGTAAAATAATGTAATCTGTATGTTGGTATAAAACTAATTTAATACCTATGTATGAGGGATGTTTGGAATAAACTAGAGAAGTGTTGCTTAATATTTTTTGACTTTTTAATGAAGATTCTTTGATAAATAGAAAGTTCAAAAGAATAGCATTTACTTGAAATATAATCTATTGTAACATAAATGTCGGTCGCTTGAATCAGTTTATTGCATCCTTGAGGATACTATTAATTAAAAGTATTCATTTATTTTAATTTTATTAGACCAAACATTAATGGAAGTGTAGCACAGTTTCCCGAAAATTTTTTGAAGCAACTGTTTTTTTTTTCCAAGTCCTCCTGTAGTCAATCATTTTATCCCTTAAAACTCATCTTTGATCACCAAAATGACATTCATTTCTTCATGCTTTAAAATGTCTTGAATGTAAATCGACACCCTTGCCTCATTTAGTATGCCGCTCTATGAATATGCAAATAAGTCCCGCCTCCACTCACTCACAGCAGCTCAGAGATCCACTGGTTGACGATCACACGTTGATCTGATTGGTTACAAGGTCGTTTGTGACGTCAGAAACACCAGCGATTTCAAACCGTGTTTTTGGTTCACTGCAGTTTTAAAGGCACAATATGTAAGATTTTTGTAATAAAATATTTTAAAAACCCCTTTCATAGTGTCATAAATTTCATGCAGTTGTGTACGTACATTATCCCAAAAGTTCCCAAGGATTTGTAAATCCAAAGAAATTCCAGTTTTTAATAATAGCTCGTCCCTGGTATTATTATGGTCTATTAATGATGTAATATCCGCGCTATCCTCGGTTTCCGCATGTAGAAACCATAGACACGATAGCTAAATGTAAGCCGCTAATGAGGAATCATGCATATCTATGATATAATATCTGTGTTGTGTCATTCAGTCATCATGGTTCATGATTGGCGAAAAATGTACAGAAAATGCCAAAAAACGTAAACATAGATCAACTTAGGCATCAATATCGGCGTGGCGTTTTCAGGATAGAGAGAGCTTGGCGACAAACACAGAGACTCCGCTCTTGCATTTGTTTTAATAGATGGGTAAGCATATATTATTTATTGTACACTACAGTTATATTGCACTTCAGTAACGCCTTTTATTTTTCTATGGCAGTGAAATTAAGTAGCCTATGTGTTACACAAAAATATTTAGCCATTACTCTTTTGCAAATACTGAGGGTTCGTTCAAAAGTACTTTTAGTGTGATGGTTGAAAATGTGTAAAACTGCAACATTCACCCTCTAAATCATTTGACAAATAGTCACATATTAGTTACAGGCTAATATAGCGTTACATTTCACGTTCCTGGCAGCTTATTCATTACGATGACATAACAGTGTCATCAAACGTACAGGGGATACAAAACTAATTTATTGGCTGATTCTATACATCTCTGGATGGTGAAAACGACTTCTCCCATCGCTTCACTCTCCTTCATAGCCTCATCAAGCTTCGTATTTGTTATTGTTTTGAACATATTGTAGCTTTAAGGAGAAAATACTCAGTAATGCTGTTGACATCATCACAGGTTTACTTTAAAGGGGTGGTTGATTGCGATTTCACTTTTTTCATTTTAAATAGTGTGTAATGTTGCTGTTGGTGCATGAACAGTATCTGCAAAGTTGCAGCGCTGAAAGTTCAATGTAAGCAGAGATATCGTCTTTTAAAAATTAGGAAGTTTAATGCCTACAAAAACGACTCGAATAGGACTACAACGGGTTTTAGACGTCACTAACCCACACATCTGCATCAACCCCTCCCTCCGGAATATGTAGGAAAGGGCATGGCCATATTTCTGTGGCTCGTCGAGTGAGTTGTTCATCCAACTGTCAGGTTGTCTGTGTTCGGCTTCCCACAGATGCTGTTCTTCGTCAACAATGGATACAATTTATGTTTGATTATGTTCCTGAAAATGACGATCGTAATTTAGCAGTAACCGGGTCGTCTCATTCAAAACAGCCAACTGTTGCTGTTAGCGAGCTGCGCACATTGAATACTCATATGAGAGTCAGGCTGCGAATGTACGTGCCCGCTTCAGCGCGCTCATGCTCATGCTAAATAAACGCCTCACCTCCAGCGCCGCGCACTACATTACCTTTAGCCTTTAGCACATAGTGGATGCATAACGCAAACCCAATCAAACGTTTGACTGCAGTATCTTATGTGCTTTATAATCCGGTGCGCCCTATATATGAAAAATGTTCTAAAACAGGTCATTCACTGAAGGAGCGTAATATAAATATTTATATTCGTCTGTATTATAGTTATGGACCACGATTACGCTTTGCCTGCACGTTCTGCTGCTACAGCCAGCTCAGTAAAGCTCAAACGTACGGGTGAAAAATATGACCCGAGAAGGGTTTGGGACAGGAGAAAAATCATGACACAGGTAAACATTGGGGTTGCATTTAAAGCTTCTCGACAAGCTAAATCTACAGAGAGATGCCGTATATCCGTATATTTTGTGAAACGATGATGTCATGCCATGAGATGAGCTGGTTGTCATTGACAGCTACAACAACTTTTGTGAGCCCACGCTCTTTCCCGACGTCATCAACGTACGTCTTTTGTTATTATTTTAAATGAGTGACCCCTGGTGGCCAAAAATCACATACTGTACGTTTAAGGGGTAAACCACCCCTTTAATGGGCTCTATGCACGGCGGTATTTCCGGTGAAGGATTAAGGATGCTCGATAACTTCCGCCGATCATAGAGTCCAATGCAATACCGAGAATTTATATTGAATTTTATACTCCATGGTTATAATAAAGAAACGTTAGTCACAAAAACAGATAAAACAGACACCCCTCGTTGTGTTTATGCTTCTTTTTAAAATTATATTAAATAAACATAACTATATATAAAATTACATCTAAACATATGTACGTTTCGTTTCAAAGACGGGAGGACAGTAAATATTGAAGACTCTGCCATAATCCCGTTTTCTCCGGTTTTCCTCCGCTTTAATCTACACAACCGGAAATGGACGAGCATCCTTACGTCAAATGCGGAACTTATGCGTGCATATAGCCCATTATTCCCAACTTTTGACCACCAGTGTACTCTTGCATACGTTACGTTGCATACGTTTTTCTGTCCTTTCCCAGACAAAACCTTTACGCCTTACATTAATTGCACATATCCCAAACGCCTCTTAATATTGTGGATCTAGTCTGACTGCCTCTTCTGGTCAGAGTAGCTCACTATGATGGAGTGGTGTGGCAGCCGATCCATGGCAGCCTCCCTTCCCACTGTCCAGTCGCAGTAATGCTCAGCTTCCTGGGATCAAACCTCCAGTACTGCCGCTCTTTAAAGAAATACAGTTTTCCATCGGGCCGAGTCAAGGCGCCGTTTATCCCCTGGGGAATCCCCTTCCAGTCCCTCAGGGCACGAGGGTAGTACGGCTCAATGCGCAAAGACTCCAGGTTCAGGACAAAGTAGCGGGACCCTTTGAAGAGCACCATGTGGCCCAGAGGCTGGTAGAAGAAGGCGCAGTCAGGGTGAGAAGGTAAGCCCAGTTTACTGTTCCTCCTGGGAAATCCACGGTCCAGATCAGAGCCCGAGTAACGCCACACCCGTCTTCCTACCAGGAGAATAAACATGGAAATGTGTTGAGAATATGCATCTTTAGAGGAATAGCTTACTTAAAAATGGCCTTCACTCACTCAAATTAATAATAACGAATTATACAAATACTAGTAAATCTAATTATATACCCAGAAACACACTCATGGAAACTGACATATACAAATCATATAGAAAATCTTAACTGCTCGATTGTTTATATTGTCGCAAAATGCTAATTATATATTCGCCAGGCGATTTATTAAAAGTTTGATATATAGTACATCCAACTTTATATGCACACATAAAGTACACTGACGTAAATTAATTATACTATAGAAAAAAAATTATATTGTAGCAAAATGTGTTATCTAGACTGTTATCGCATAGCTCTGTACTGTATATAAAGTTGGAAATCAGCTTTATCCACAAACATACAGTACACTTAAAACTCTATGTTTACTAAAAAGTAAACTCTACTTTCTCACTGCTCTAATCTGCTAAATGTGACTATAAGGCATTCAGATTTTAATATTTTATACACATTAGCAGCATCATGATTTTCTGTAAAGCTGCTTTAAAACAGTGTATTGTGAAAAGTGCTTTATTGTATCATGCTAAAAAATGATTTCTCATCCATGTTGTTCGGTTTGCTTTTCTGGCTGATGTTGTGCAGAAAAAATGTTGTGACAGTTGGTCAGTGTGGTATTAGTCCCGCCCCTCCTCGACTGTGATTGTGATTGGACGGCTGGGTTAAAAGCGCTGCGTTTTATCCAAAGTTGAACATTTTTCAACTCTCCACCAGTAAAAACGCTGGGCGCCTCAGCGTGAAAAAACATTCAGCGCCTCGTTGCGCTCATGGCGTTTAAAAAACGCGGCGCTCCCATTAAAAAACAATTGAAAACATATGCCAGTCGCGTGGAAAAACGCTTTGGTGGACACTTGGCCTAAATGTAAAACTTGCTCTTCCTAAAACGGCTTTACTTTTTTCCTGACATGTGCCATATTTCCAAACTATTCTTATTGAAGTAAAATAGACATGCAAGAGAAATGCAATCCAATTTTGAATTTAAAACTGAATGCAGGTTTTGTAACTGGGTAAACATATACACTAAACATACACTCTATATCACCATGAGACCAGAACTGCACTCTGGAACATGGGTAACGGTCTGAACCGTCTTTACCTTTAAAGAAGTAGAGTTTGCTGTCCAGCGGGGAGAAAGCAGCTGCTTCAATAGCCAAGGGCAGCTTCGGCCAGCGAGTCTGAAGCGGAAGAGGATCGCTCACACTGCCATTAGTCACCGTCCAGAAATGATGGCCCTGAAACACCAGCACTGTCCCATTCTCATCTACAGAAAAAACAACAGCTTTACACAGTTCGAGGAAAAGTGTTAATGTGTCAATTAAAATGTCCAGTTCTTACCCATGGTGATGGCATCAAAGAAACCCTGGCAGTAGTGGGGTATGAGGGAACCTCCCGTAGGATCTTGAGGAATCTGCCAATCCTGCATGTCCCATCTCAGAGCCCGTCCTGCCAGCGGCTTCACTGTATCCCCAGGTGGTTGACCTGCACACACATGCAGAGAATGCCAATGTAATTATTACTAATATACTGCCAATGTACAGACAGACAGAGTTTGGCAGATCAGCCTTCTCTATCAGAGCCTCTAAGCACTGGAATTTAGTCCCAAAAGAGATTAGAGACATTAGTACATTCATTAGTACCTTCACTTGTTTTAAATATAAAGTGAAATTAGGGTTAAAATCTATATAATCATGTACTCATTAATCATGTGAAACTTGTTGTCTGAGAGGCGATTTGTGTGATGATATTTTATGGTATATTTATATGTGTTTGTTGGATTGTTAATTGTATGTTTTCCTTTCCTGCCCAGGGACTACAGATGAAATTTAGCTTGTAGCTAATTCTGTTATGGATTAATGCCATACACTGTCCCTGTTAAATAAATAAATAAACTCTAAGTTGTGCCTCTTCAAAGCAAACACACTACATCAACATGACTTCCGGAAGATGTTGGACTCCACAACTAATCCAACGTCAATCAGACATTATATTTTGGTTGAAAATGAAAGTTGGGTTGATGTTTAAATCCAACGTTTGTTCAGCTAGATGTTAACCTGACTTCGTCATACTCGTATTCTAGTGAGAATATACCATACAATTACATAAGAAAACAAGGGTAAATTTGCCTTTTAAATCCTCTAAATCCTTTTAGAGGAAACACTGTTCACCACAATGGTGATTTTTTAAATGGTGACCAAACCATCAACATCTAAAGCTCTGTTAATTCTCAATAAAAACTTCTTTAGACGTGTGACAGAAATAAAGTCGGTCTGGTTAGTAATAAATAAAGCTGATAATGCTGTTTGTGGAGTTGTTTAATCCTCCTCTGTTGAGATCTTCACAGATTTAATGTCTTCTTTGTATCTTCATCTGATTTAATCTAAGGCTGTGACTGGAATTCAGTTGTAGTTCTTGTGTTTCTCTTTCCTTCAGTGAATCTGCTTGTTAACAGCAGGGTGTTTACCACTAATACTCTATCATCACCCAATTAGTCACGTAATTATCTCATTAACTTGAACACTGCTTCAGTGTTACTTTAACACTCTAGAATGGGACCATATACACTCCGAGCAGTGTTGATTTAACACTAGTCTGCCATCCATTCCTTGTCCTATTTCTGTTTCGCCCCCTTGTGGGTTTTGTTTTCCTGTTTTTTTCCAATAAACCCCCTGTTCGTTGCACTGTTTTGGGTTCATCTCCCTGCATCCACATGACACACAGTTTGTTCCTTTGAGCGTTCATTTCGGTCGGGTACCAGACCTAGTTAATTGTAATTGCTCAAAGGTAACGTTCTGAAAACTAAAGGCAATAGCCACCACGGTTCCTGGATTCATAGCTGGCTCAGGCTTTATGCCAGGGGCTGAGGCATGGCTAGATAACAGTCGCGTAGAGTAGAGACATAGCGTTGGAAAAGCAGTCAGTGTATCATGAGGTCTATAGCCGGTGTCAGGGTGTACAGTGTTCCCGCAGCGTCAAGCTGACGCAATACTGAAGTGACCGCTCTCGAAAGGTTAGTTGACTCAAATGAGGTGTTCATTTAATAAAAAAATTGGTAACTTTATTTCGATGGTCCACTTTAGACATCCTACATCCTACTGACTAAGTAACTTTGCAACTACATGTCAACTAACTCTAGAAAGTATTATTACTTATAAGTAGAATGTCTAAAGTGGACCATCGAAATAAAGCGTTACCAAAAGATTACATTAAAGGGTTAGTTCACCCAAAAATGAAAATTAAGTCATTAATTACTAACCCCCATGCTGTACCAACCCCGTAAGACCTTCGTTCATCTTCGGAACACAAATAAAAATATTTTTGATTGAATCTGAGAGCTGGATCAGTCCTACATAGACTGCCTGAGGGACTGCCTCTTGACGGCCCAGAAAGTCATTAAAAGAAAAGGTTTAAATATTCCATGTGCCTACAGCGGCTCAATTATAAGTTTATCAAGCGACGAGACTACTTTTTGTGGGAAAAAAACATAAATAACGACTTTATTCCACTATTCCATTACTTCCTTATGGGCGCATGCGCGAGAACTGAGACGAGGACGTTCTCATTCGTCTACTTTTTGTTACCGGCTGCTCCGCTTAGGAGTATTACCGCCACCTACCGTATAAAATGATGATCCATATATAAGGCGCTCCGGATTATAAGGAACACTGTCGTTTTTTGAGAAGATTAAAGGCTTTTAAGTGCACCTTGTAGTGCGGAAAATACGCTAATTGAAAAGCGTATGTACAGCGCGCATCTTCCTCTGCTTGTAAACAGAAAGTTTTGCGCTTCCAGCTATCAGCACATCATCTTATACGGTAGGGGGCGGTAAAACTCCCAAGCGGTGAGCAGCCGGTAACAAGAAGTAGACGAATGAGAACGTCCTCGTCTCAGTTCTCGCGCATGCGCCCATAAGGAAGTAATGGAATAGTGGAATAAAGTGGTTATTTATGTTTTTTTTCGCACAAAAAGTAGTCTCGTCGCTTGATAAACTTATAATTGAGCCGCTGTAGGCACATGGAATATTTAAACCTTTTCTTTAATGACTTTATGGGCCATCAAGAGCCAGTCCCTTAGGCAGTCTATATAGGACTGATCCAGCTCTCAGATTCAATCAAAAATATCTTTATTTGTGTTCCGAAGATGAACGATGGTCTTACGGGGTTGGAACAGCATGGGGGTGAGTAATTAATGACTTAATTTTCATTTTTGGGTAAACTAACCCTTTAAATTGAATGTACGAAATTCAGCTTGTCTGGAATACAATAAAAAAATCTGATATCTATGCCAAAAATATCTGATTGTGGTGGAGGTATCCAATCCTAGAATACTTCCCACCCACACATACATTTTTTTAGGCAGCAGATGATATCTTAAAAAAATAGTTTTGTGATGAGGCCTCTATGTTGGCCTCCTGCCGCTTTAAGATGAATGATATACTGAGGAATATATTAATATAGTGTAGTGTTGGCACCTGTGTGTGTGTGTGTACATAAATTTGGCATCTGATTTTTTCCTGGAAGGCTTAAAGAAGGATCCTGGCAAACTCTTGGAATGGATTCTTCAGTTATGATCAGAACGCTGAGGGAGGGTGGTGTTGGTATGAGACCCTTCTCACGCACTGAAGATGGATGGATGAAGGTTTTCTCCTGCGTGTGTAAACCTGCCCGACACATGCTTGAGAAACAGCTGACAGTTTCACCGGCACGGAGTTGTGTTTGTCTTACTATCTTTCAGTGTAAATAGCTGTCGGTTTCACTACAGCCTAGCAAAATTAGCTGTATAAATTGTCCCGCTAAGACTGCTTGTGTGAAAATATCAGTGTTTCATGATATAAGGAACTGGTACATTTGCAAATGTGTTTTTGGGTAAATCTCAAGAAGGCTCCCAAAATCAACAGAAAAAAAGGACACTTCGTTTCTCGTTGCTGTAATTATCTTCAGTAATCAATATCACACAACAATATTTTTTTACTCAAAATTAACAAATAAAGTTCAGTACTCCAACACTATCATGATGTATATATAACAATTTTAATAATATTGTTGTTTCTTCCCTTAACAATAAAAAGTATGACATTTTACTTGTTAATTGTCATGAAAATAATGTTGTAATACAAACAATCCTAGAATATAATCCTAAAATAGAATCCATGCAACATATAAATTGTTTTTGAGATCCGTTCACCTAAAATTTTTTATATAGAAATATATATATATATATGAAGAGTTCAGATGCAAAAGCCTCTAAGTGCCATTTGAAATTTTCTTCTAGAATGATCATTTTTATCAAGCTTGTATATTTAAGTTCAGTGATTTCACTTAAATGGCAATGATAATTACCTATTAATTGTTATTTAAGTGAAATTACTGAACTTAAATATACAAGATTGATAAAAATCATCATTAAAGAAGAAAATTTCAAATGGCATTTAGAGGCTTTTGCATCTGAACTCTTCATATATATATATATATATATATATACTGTATGTTGTAGAGACGAGATATGTTAAGAACTGAATGTGTCTTTTTTCTGTAAAGGTATTTTTCAAATGCAAATATTGAATGATTATTCTTTCTTCTGTAGCCAAAAAAAAAAAAAAAATGTAATTAAGACTTTCTAAGATCATTTATACTCGTTGCTGTTCATACTGTTGGCCATTATTGATTGAGTTTGGGTTTCATGGGTAGAACGCATGGGTTGCATTGCCTTTGACTTGCTAAGTTGCAGTTTAAAATACACGTATTATTCAGTAATATTATTGATTTGACTGCTCAATTTTTGAAATGAACTGAATCAACAATGAGACTGAATAATTTCACTATTGTCGTTTTACAGCAGGAAATTATTTTATCTCATATTTGATGGTTTAATCATCGATTTTCCTGCTTATGGAGTGGCTTTGAAACAAGCTGTATTGTCTAAAGCACTATTAACTTCTCAGAGCAAGACAGGTATTTTACACCATTTAAGATGCACATATTTTCTAAAAAAAAAAAAAAATCTAAAACCCTGATAGATTTTTAAACTTCCTCACAATAGACAGCTTTGCTATCTCTGTAAAGTCATTGTTACTAAAGACCAGAGCCATAAACACTTGCACAGCTTTCTAACAAGAAAAGAGCAGCTTGTTTACCATAGAGTTGTTGTATAGCAGCGATGTCATCCCAGCTGAGCAGTGGAGCAGAGCCCATCTTCTTATAGTACGGGGACATGAGCGCATGGCGAACTGGTGAATGAACCAAACCCAGAGTGTGGCCAATTTCATGGGCCGACACAAGGAACAGGTTGTGTCCTTTAAGACCAATCAGGGTCCATCGTTCAGACATATCAAAATGAGCTTCACCACGGAATGGGAAAAATGCATGAGCCAGAGTGCCACCTAAAAAAATAAAGAAATAATTCTGGTTGAAAGACCAAACCAAAGTCCCTGGGCATGTCATTTCATTCCAGGCTGGAGCAGCCAATGCGCATGTGCAGTCGTAAGCAACCGGAGCTTCTGGCGACAGCTGCACTGATGCGATGACTTTACTAATTGGCAATTGGCTCTTTAATTTCAAAGGTGGGCCTTATTCAGTCCTATTGTGTGTTGCTTTCTCCCATTAGTAGAGTGCACTTTGTGTATCTAAAGTCTTTGTATAACTTTGCTTTTATAACAAAACGTTTTTGTTCAAATACTTCTTCCTGATGGATTTCTGAACAATGATTAAACATATATGGAGTAGAGCATGTCCATCAACACTAAGTTGACATTTCATTTGGTAACTTTAGGCAATTTCTATGATGTTTCGTGTTGGATGAGTTTGTTATTTTACATGGTGTAAGCAATGCTTCTATCGCTTGTTTTCTGCTTTTTCATCAGTGTTTTGATCTGGAGATTCTCTACTCTTGCAGAAGATGTGTCATAGCGCCCCCTACCGTATAACAGATAAAACATGGACAGCTGGGAATTTTAAACTAAACTCCCAGTTTGAACACCTTTTTTTAAAAATACTTTTTCCCAATCTTCTAAGTATAATATGCTAATACACAGCATAGCACAAATGCTGAACAGACATTGCCCAGACAGCAAACTGACATTGAATCAACGTGGAAACGACGTCTCTCATGACATTGAAACAACGTTGATTTTGCTCATCGAATTAACATTGAACCAACGTCAGACGCNCTCTAATGTTTTTCACCAAATAACACACAAGTATTGGAATTTAAATAATCATTATCATTTTACTTTCTTAAAGGGACAGTTCACTTTGAAATTAATTTTTGATATGTTTTATCTTACCTCAAGGGCATCCAAGATGTAGGTGTCTTTGTTTCCACAGTAAATTTCAATTTTGACATTTTTCGGTCAAACTGGTGTTGTCTGTCAGTCATATAATGGAGGTCTATGGTCACCACCTCAAAGAGCATGCACAGAGAAGTCCAAATTAAACATGATTTAATGACTCGTGAATGTAAGCACACATTGATGGCCTAAGACACGAAACAAGTGGCTTTTGTGAGAAAACAAACAGTATTTATATCGTTTTTACCTCTTGTTAATAGCCGTCGAACTGATCTGAATCAGATGTCCAACTGAACCGAACTGAACCGTGTCCAACGTTACGCCGCAAGTGATCATTCACGCGTCTACGTCACGCATTGTTTACACAGATTTCGGAAGTTTTGCCTTTCACTAAACATTTAGATATACGGGAAATCGCAATGGAAGACGATTTTGATATATCTAAGTATATTTAGTATATACCACCTCAAAGAGCATGCACAGAGAAGTTCAAATTAAACACGATTTAATGACTTGTAAATGTGCACATTGATGGCCTAAGACACGAAAACGAACGGTATTTATATCGTTTTTACCTCTTGTAACCATAGTCACATAGCGCCCTCGCCCTCAGATCACTTGGACGTGGCTGTGGTTACAATTAAGTAAAAACGATATAAATACTGTTCGATTTCTCACACAAACTGCTCGTTTCGTATCTTAGGCCATCAATGTGTACTTACATTTACGAGTCATTAAATCATGTTTAATTTGGACTTCTCTGTGCATGCTCTTTGAGGTGGTGACCATAGACCTGCATTATATAACTGACAAACAAGAACGGTTTGACCTAAAAATATCAAAATTGAAAATACTGCGGAAACCTCCATCTACATCTTGGATGCCCTTGAGGTAAGCTAAAACATACCAAAAATGAATTTCAAAGTGAACTATCCCTTTAAATGCAATGAATTGTTCTAATAACATTTCCAGTCTGACGGTTCTGTCAACGAGCCCTTCATGTCCTCTCTCTTTCTCTCACGGTGAGTGCGCGTGCAGTGAAATTATGTTTGATTAACGTTTCGGAAGGAACACGTTCAAATGATTTATCCAATCAGCACGAGAGGAGGCCTATACATATACGACGCTGACCTATGTTCCGTGACAGTTTTCAGCATCCCTCCGCCACCCGACTCCTCACTCTAGGCTGGTTTCTATCAGAGCCAGGGAGGGATACGTGGGGAGTACTCTGAATACAAAGCCATCTCTTCGGACAGCTCGCCAAATACACATACTTCTTTTAATCTGATTATTTGTGTGAAACTTGTGAAATTATGTCTGTGCTAAACTTATTTTAACTCAATTACATTATAGTACAATTGAGCCATGGGCTAATTAAAGGCATTTTTTAGTTGTCTCTCGTGAAATTTGGTTTCATATGCTAGCATTGTAGAGGGTGCAGAGGTGCTCAGAGCATGCGTGTGCGTGTGTGCAAACCTGTTGGTTTGGATGTCTTTGGCAAAATGTTTGTGGTGTATAATACGACTATTAGCCAGTCTAAAATATGTTTGAGTAGGAGTAAAAATGATTATGTAGAAACAGAAGGACAATGAGCGAGAAAGGGAACAGAGCCTGCCAAAGACATGAACGAATAGAGCTGTTTTCCGTTCAAGGCCCACATATACACACACACACGAGGGAATGTTAGGATGATGAAAGAGGAAGTGTAAACAGGAGAAAATAGTGACTTATTATTCAATCTCAGTCCCATCATGCATCCACGTTTCTACAAAACACAAGTTACTTTGTTTTCCCATTTATTGACTGGCAGCTCTCTTATCCCATGTTGAGAGGAAGCGTAAAATGCGGAGTCGTTGTGTGTCCTGTGTAAATATGATGTTATTGTTGTTCTAGACTAAATGAGCATGCATTTACTCACATCACTTGCACAGAAAACAGATTCAGTATTCCTCAAAATGAATTAAAAACAGTAACGTGCAAACTCAGAATATTACACAAACCTGCAATAATTAAATATGTTAAATAATATACAAATATGCTTTGTGTATTTAATCTTACTTTATTAACTAAGAGTCTTTGCTGCTGCAATGATCCAATTTCAGTCCATACCAATAATATGCAAAAAAAAATGACTTTACAGAGATGTTTAATTATTTTTTATTGCTGATGTGTTTAACTTTATTCTCCTGTGGGGTCACTATACTGAGTACATGAATGCATGAATTTCATCTGCAGAGCTGCTCTGAGAGATTTCACCATTTCATTCGATAAAATCATTCATCATATCACTTACGTACACACAAACTCAAGAGGCCTTCATTTTATACAACCTTGCTGATGTGTGTGTCTGTGTTTTACTTTTCAGTATGTCTTGGGACAGATATGAAGCTGGCTTTACCCTCCAGTCTCGAGAATCATTATGAGATGCTCAGGCTGCTGTACACGGGCTGTCAAGTTGTTCATGGTAACCTGGAGATCACGCATTTGCAGGGAACTCCAGACCTCTCCTTTTTGCAGGTACGGGACTGTCGTGTGTGTGTGTTAGGGTAGCTCTTTATTATACAGCAGGTAGATTTCTTTGGTGCTCAAGCATTTCCAAACTCACTCATGTTCATTTTCTTGCCAGTGTGTAAATAATCACATTATAATGAATAATGTGTGCCTAAGTTTAACCAGAACATATTTCTTAAAAGTCTGCAATACCATTTTATAGAGATACTTCAAGTTTAAAGGGTTAGTTCACCCAAAAATTAAAATTAAGTCATTAATTACTCACCCCCATGCTGTACCAACCCCGTAAGACCTTCGTTCATCTTCGGGACACAAATAAAGATATTTTTGATTGAATCTGAGAGCTGGATCACTCTTCCATTGGCTTCCTAAGGAACTGGCTCTTGACGGCCCATAAAGTCATTAAAGAAAAGGTTTAAATATTCCATGTGCCTACAGCGGCTCAATTATAAGTTTATCAAGCGACGAGATACTTTTTGTGCGAAAAAAACATAAATAACGACTTAATTCGACTATTCCATTACTTCCTTATGGGCGCATGCGCGAGAACTGAGACGAGGACGTTCTCATTCGTCTACTTCTGTTTACCGGCTGCTCACCGCTTAGGAGTTTTACCGCACCTACCGTATAAAATGATGATCCATATATAAGGCGCTCCGGATTATAAGGAACACTGTCGTTTTTTGAGAAGATTAAAGGCTTTTACGTGCACCTTATAGTGCGGAAAATACGCTAATTGAAAAAGCGTATGTACAGCGCGCATCTTCCTCTGCTTGTAAACAGAAAGTTTTGCGCTTCCAGCTATATCAGCACATCATCTTATACGGTAAGGGGCGGTAAAACTCCTAGCGGTGAGCAGCCGTAACAAGAAGTAGACGAATGAAAACGTCCTCGTCTCAGTTCTCGCGCATGCGCCCATAAGAAAGTAATGGAATAGTCGAATAAAGTCGTTATTTATGTTTTTTTCGCACAAAAAGTAGTCTCGTCGCTTGATAAACTTATAATTGAGCGCTGTAGGCACATGGAATATTTAAACCTTTTCTTTAATGACTTTATGGGCCGTCAAGAGCCAGTCCCTTAGGCAGTCTATCTAGGACTGATCCAGCTCTCAGATTCAATAAAAAATATCTTTAT